ACTCGCAGACGGCAGAGTGAGGACCATCCTGAGCCAGCAAGGCACTCAGCAAGGAGAGCCGGCCGGCCCCTTCCTCTTCTGTCTGGCCCTCCAGCCAGTACTCAAGGCCATCCAAGCCAGCTTTCCACGCGCCCTCATACAAGCCTTCATGAACGACATCACACCGGGGGCCGACAAGAGTAAGGCAGACGGGGTGGTGGACAAGGCAGAGGAAGAGCTGCAGACTATCAGCCTCAAGCTGGCCAGGAAGAAGAGCAAGGCGTACGGCCCCCACTGGACGGACAGAGAGCCACCACCGGACGACCTGCTGCCTGGCTTTGAGAGGGAGGGGCTCTCGGGTGAGGGCATTGACATCCTGGGCGGGGCAACAGGGACGGACGGCTACATCGCTAACAAGCTGCAGAGCGTCCTCGACTCCTACCGCCCCCTCATCGAACGACTCAAAGCGTTCGCACACGAGCAGTGGCAGGACTCATCGCTCCTCTTCCGCTCTTGCGCAGTCCCACGCCTGTATTACTGGCCTCGTCTTCTTTCCCAGCGCCCTTCAAGCAGCGAGGTCACGGCGCTACTGAGCGATGAGGAGATCATGAATGCAGCCATCGCCATCCACGGGCTGGGAGAGGAGGACACCGCCGAGCCGCATCGACGACAGATGGCGCTTCCAGTGAGAGAGGGGGAATGGGCATTACGGCGACGAGCGCCATTCTGCCTGCTGCATATCTCGGCTGCACCGCTGTGACGCTACCCTACATGTGGAGACACTACCAGCTGGCGCCATGGATGCCACAGGGGGAGGGAGGGGGGGAGGGAGGGGAGGACGGAGCGGCAGCACTACTGCAGCTGCCATGGCTACGGGCAGCGGAGTCGGCAAGAGAGAAGCTACTGGAGAAGCTGCCGGAGACGGAGGTGCTCACACTGGCCAAGCTGCTCGAGGGACGCACAAAGCTACGGCTACAACACGACCTGACGGCCAGCCTGATGCGAATCGAAGCAGATGCCCTGCTGGACGAGTTCGGCGAGGAGTCAAGAGATCGCGCACGGCTGAGGAGCTGTCGAGGCCCAGGAGCTAGCGGCTGGCTGACGACGGTCGCGGCGCATCCGGGCCTGCGCTTCACCAACAAGGATTTCGTCACCTGCTGCCGTCTGAGGATCGGCGCCACCCAACACCCTTCACTCGCATCGGACTTCTGCTCGTGCGGCACCCACCTGGACCCCTACGGCGACCACCTCCTCTGCTGCGGCACAGGCA